CCTAGACCGGGGTTAGTTTTGTCTTGGTCTTGCTTTAAGTAACACAAATCATATGCAGCGTGCTCGCAGCACTGTCCTTTTAAAATTCTTTCTTTGTATACCCAACAGTGGGGCTGTGAAAGGTTGATAATACACGTCCGCCTACATGTTGTTAGGTATTGTGAGACACACCTTTCCTTATTGCAAGGAGGTTATATTTCTCCATTAGTCCGTATGGCCATGTTTGATTTAGCCACTATGACCCTCCTGTAAATAGCACAGAATATTTACCACGTTAATACGGACAGCATCCGGCTCACCACATACATAATTAAACCCACACCACACCCCTCTGGGACCAAATACCCAGGGTATATAATATATTCTCCCGGGTATATTATAGCCGGGTATAAACAACCGTACTTAAAACGTTCCCGGTGAATAATTGTGAACATTTTTTTGTCTTAGTTCACAATGCGAAGCGGTGTTATTTTTTTGTTTTTTGCTCTCATGTGATGATTACGTTTGTTTCGCGTATTATGAGACTCATGAAATGTGGGGGTGGTTTTTAATAAAAGCCTTAAAGAGGCAACAAAATGTATGGGCGTTTACTTTGTGCTACAAAAATACCTTGACGTACATTTTTAAAACAAAAGAAAATCCTCTTCCCTTGTTCCATGTTCTCACGTGAAAGTGAAAACTATTTATTTTTTAATAAAATGGCTATCTTGGAGTTATAAGGTCTAAAATTTAAGAGTGTATACAATAAATGCCTGATGCATATGATATTTTAAGGTGTTGGCTTTTCTGATGCTTGGTTCAAATAGACGTAAAAATAAACTTTAATTTTGATTACTTTGTTTCTTTGTTGCGTTTTAGTTACTTGCGAGCGAGCTTTTCGATGTTGCTTACCGTAAATTCTCAGCCGCCATTGCCCATTGTTACACATATACATGAATGAACATATTTTCTGAGACTACTGTCAATTATGAGGTCTTCGGATTTTTTAAGTAAGCTTTTTTATCAAAAGGACTCTTCATTAATAGTATGTAAATGCGTGCGAAATAAATGGTAATTGTGAACAAATAATATCGATTATTCTACGTGTTCAAATTAAAATACTAAATGTGTAAAGGATGTATTTTAAATACAGACGAGCGAGCCGCATGGCAGACGCCGGTTATTTTTAACTGTGGAACTTTTTTTACACTAAAGCAGTTAAGTTTCCACTCTCAAATATTATCACAATTTGAATTTAATTCGCGGCATTTTTAAAAAGTTATGTAAACAAAGCCTTTGACAAAATAATTTTCGGTTTAACAACAAATTTAAAACTTGTGTCGGTTCAGAATAGTTTCAAACGTCGCCAACCCCGGGGTTGCGGCAGGGCAGGCCCGGGCCCGCGTTGCACGGGGCCGCGCGGCGCACTGGCATGGCAGCGCGGGCCAACGGCGGCCCGCTGGCCCACCCAATTAGTCGTTACCGAACACGCGACCCCGCGGAGCCCTGCGACGCTACGATATTGATATTTTACTTTATTTTATTTGCTTTACAAAGTACCTATCTACATTGCCATTGTTAGAGAGAGTCGCAGACATCTCCAATCGTGATTACTCCGGCAATTGTCAATCAATCAAAGAATTTCATGATTCACGAACAATGCGGAATTGAGTACTACGGGCACAGTACGTTATTGATTGAAACAATAGTTCATCACGCTTGCATCCAAACAGAGCAATTAAGTCCGCCGCCCGGCCGTGATTAATGTCCCTAACCCCTGCACAGGAACGTACTCAGGGTTGTGAGGAAGGTCATTGCGAACTTAGCAGTTCGTTCGTGTCTCCCGAATCGGTGCCTGCCGAGAGGGTCGCTAATCTCTGGCAGTGACACAATGTGACGCTAGACCACTCGACGCAGTCACCGTGGCGAATGTTCTATTTATTATTTGCTATTTACTACACTTTGTTTCTTCTTGGTTGTAGCTTTTTAACAAAACTCTATACAGAGCCTATACAGTTATCTAAAAACAGTTTTGGGGAGATGGTTTGTCAGTTTTTTAACAACACAGATAATTATAATAATAATAATAAAATAACACACACACTCAACATAGCCCCGCACTAGGGAAACCCTGTGTCGCGAGTGCCATGGACACACACATAGACAGCAAATTACACCCAAACTCACGAGAGAAATAAGTGTAGGCCATACAAATATTTCTCTCGGCCCGGGAAACGAACCTGGGACCTCTGCGTGGTTACCGTTCGGCCACGGAGGCAGTTAAAAGATAGATAGCATTTAGCTTGCATGGCGTTACTATAGTGCAGTTTGTGCCGTCGCAAATATTTCATAGCTGTTTTTAATAAAATAAATATGTATAGTTTTAATGTGACCAAATTGGGGTTTTGTCCACTGGGAATCTCGGCCTAGAATTTCGAGTCTCCAATTCATTGGCGTTTTCGAGACTCGTGGCTGATGTTCTCAGGGTCGTATTCTAGAACTCTACTCAATGCTCAAGTCAGGATTTGAGTATGGCTTAAAGCACTCGAAATCATACTCAAGTCCCTGCCATTAGGGTCGTAGTTCCAGTGCTTGTGTTTCCAGTGCAATCCTGACTTGAGCATTGATTAGAGTTCTAGAATACGACCCTTCGTCTCGTGTATTTCGAGACTTTTGCATCTAAAGTAACTTAATTAAACAATTTCTGACTATGCGGACATGATGGCGATCAGTGAACGGTACGAAATAAAATCAGGTCCTTTTTATTTGAAACTATCCCCTTCAAACCCTTTGTTTCTTCCGTTACATTTAATGAAGCACGAAATAGATTTCAGTGTTAAGTATATATTATGAGTATTTGATTTGAAGTCACATTCTCGAAGGACGTGATATGAAATTAAACAAAGAAAGGCAAAATATTTTTCTTCAATCATGGAACGACGACGAGATTAGATTGCAACCAGTATATTGAAACACTTATAAAAATTAAATATTTGTTTTATATTGACATTATTTGCAGCATTTTTTGTGACACGCCACATCGCCGGCTTGCCTGCTACTTCGCCGGTAATCAATCATTTCTTTCAAACAAATTGAGTCTACGTTTACAGTATGAACAACAATATGAGCATTAAACAAATCGTCAAGCTCTAACATTGGTCTTTCATAGAAAAATTGGTATAAATATAGTGAATAAACATTGAACATTAAGAAAACTCGGAAAATGTGACAACGTTAGACACTGACTAATAAGGTGTCGTATCTAATTACCGTAAATAATTAATTATTAACACGGTAAAGTGTAACAGCGGAAGTATTTGTGATTTCAAGATTTCCGTGTGTACTTCTAATACACTACATCTTGTCATTTTAAGTTATGTCAACTCATTCAATCATTATTATTATTGATACAAAGATCGAATAAACACAAAGAAAAATTCCTTCGACAGACACGAACCAGCATCTATTGGCCCACCGTGGCTACCGCTCTTGCCGACTGAGCTACAATACGACTCTTCACTTCGAAATCTTACGAATTTCTCTGTGCTTGTTGCAGATCTTTGTTCAAACGGCTTTTTTGCATTCAAACATAATATCAGACAGCTTTTGATTAAAGCGACGTAAAACCATCATAAAACTAACCAAGAAATGGCTATAGATTGAGATACTTCTATACGACAGCAAATTCAAGAATTACGAACAGAGATCGAAATAGTGGGTAATACCTCCCTCTAAAACCCGGAATGATTAATAGGAAAAGGAAAAAAAATCAAAACAAAACAACAAAACGTTTTTACAATAAGATTCCGGAGCATTTATTAAGATTCCCTAATTTTAAAACTTACATTAAAAGTATTTTATTTATTGAAAAGTCATATTACAAAATTGAGGAGTATGTGTTGATGAAGACTTATGGAATGTGAACAAGAGTCTAGATTCCACACAATTATGATTCAAAGTGTATTCCATAGCATTTAAGTTTATTTGAAAAGGGCAACCCTTAGAGTTTCTTCCTCGTTCTTCTTAGGGAAGTCAGCGCAGTGAATGAGCAGTAGCTTAAAAAATTACGTTTTAAGTGTAAAAATTTCATCACAATATATATTTGGAGGTTATTATCCACTCTATATATATTGATTGATTGATTCTTGCAGTTTAGGTAAATATACTTTGTTATGTTCCTGCCTACCGTTACTTGGTCGCCAAGGGCCATAGTAAACCGGAGGATGGTGGGGGAGACTACGAAAAGAAGTTTTTACCCGTCAGCGTACACGGATGTGGGATATCCCTTATGACACCGCAAGCGTCCGCCAGCGTACCGCAGAATCGGCTGGAACGTCGTCAAGGTATCCGCCAACATGCCACCCGTCGCACGGATTTGAATCACTTCTACTAGAGACTACCCATGCGAAAAGTTCCCGACGTATTCAGGCGTACACCGATGAATTCCGGTGCATACCGAAGGAAGGTGCCTCCTGACACGGTATCCTCTAGCTTACTCTTTAATACTGCAGAGAGTAATGCGCCGCGATGCTCTGAGGTCGGTTTCAGAGCAATGAAATGTATACCTTATTTCAATTGTTATTGCATAAAATATGGATCTGTCTTCCCGTCCGTTGGTTTGCACCGGCCCTAACAATAATTATAGAAAAATATACAATATTAAATAACAGGAACTTAATTTTGGTGACTTAGAAAACTTTCACTTGATTTATTATAAACGATTTCTTTATATATCATATTCGCAATATTTATACATATAGGTATGTAAGCTTTATTTTGAGTAAATAATGAATAAAATAATAATATTAATAACGCACACACTCAACATACCCCCGCACCAGGGAAACCCTGTGTCGGGAATGCCATGGACGCACACATAGACAACTCACGAGAGAAATAAATGTAGGCCTCACAAAATATTTCTCCCGGTCCAGGATTCGAACCTGGGACCGCTGCGTGGCAGTCCGGCTTGGTAACCGTTCGGCCACAGAGGCAGTTATAATTAAAGTAATATTACATTATTGTGACTAAATTATAACCCTAATTTAAACATTTTGTGTTTGGTTTTAGTTTAGAGATCTATAATAACTACATTTTGATTATGTATAATAATTGAGTATAAGAATAAGTCTCTTTATATAAATTTAGAAAAAAAATATCAATTAATTAAAAAATATATGTGATTCGATTGTTCAATTGTAATTACATTAATCGATATTACTTATTATCTGAAAGCATAATTATGCAATACTAATCTCACGTAAGATCTTAATGAAAAAACTAAATCGTTCCATGAGTTGGTGAACCGGAGCCTCATGATGAATGTTTCACTCTTTAATTTACGGTGGGCTTCACTTGGCCAAAGCTAGAAACATACAAAATGTATTTATTTTTGTTCAAAATTATAATACCTTACGCGTAATGAACGTAGCGTTCAGCGGTTAAATAAATAACTGTAGCTGGGATATATGGCCAGGTGTAATTGTGAAGTGGCGACAACGACGAGGTCCCTTTTTATCCATGGCATTTGGTTTAACAAACAAAAAAGAAAACATTCAGTCAAAGATTCAAGTTATAAGATACTTGACGAGTTTTTTAAATGTTATAGAAATAGTAAATTTTGAACAGATATTTTGATTTGTTCCAGAACACCAACGTGTCTGTCCCTTTAGTTACGTCAGCCTGACTATGAGACCACGGGACTCAAAACGTTGGTAAGTTTGAAGAAAGAAATAACACGCGATTTAGACCTCGCGAAAACCTACTCGATAATGAGCTTAAACTTTAGATTTTTTACGTTGTAGGTAACTTAAGTAATGATTTTAATTAAAACGGTGACTTAGGGTCGTATTCCAGAACTCTACTCAATGCTCAAGTTAGGATTTGAGCAGACTTGAGTATAATTTCAAGCGCTGGAAATACGACCCTAATGGCAAGGACTTGAGTATGATTTTCAGTGCTCACTGCAATATTGAAGTCCTGACTTGAATATTAAGTAGAGTTCTGGAATACGACCCTTAGTGTTTCATTTGCTGACGTAACATTCTTAACTTTTTAAAGCATTCACTAGTAATATTTAAATTGTACACTGCATTGGGTACTCTTGATATAAAAAAGCCATCACAAGAAAGTTATAAAAATACAACAAATTCAATGAAACAAATCACGTATAAACGAAGACGTATAATACTCCTTTTTAAGCATTAAAGCCCTCTTGAAAAGTTATCGTTTTGCATTTGCATATATGGCCTTATTACATCAAAGGTGCCCTTTATGCATGTACGTATATGCTCCTTACATATGTATATAAAGTAATCTTAAACGCGTTTCATGCAGTCTTTCGATTTCAGTAAACACACGTTATTTTGCGTAGAGGTTGGGGACGCTGCGCTGATCTCCGGCTCGTCATATCGCCTTGTCTGCAATAAGTAAATAAACATATCTGTTAATTAATGCTCTTGACTGTACACAGAAGGACGTTACTCAAACGCTATATTGCCTCCTGATTGGTTAAATTATCCCAATTGCAACAGGGCCATAAATCTCTATAAAAATATTGGTTATTTAAGCGGTAGTTGGTCAGTTCTATTCTATCTCTTTGGTTTTATGTTACCTCTAAATATACGAAGAGGCTGTATGGTGGAACATTTGCCTACCCTAATAAATGGGTTAAAATTTATAAAAAAAAATAGCGTTTGTTGTCATGGATTGCCAACAAAATAGATTCGCTCTGGACCTTTTGGAGGGAAAAGTGTCGTTTTTATTTTTACTTTCAATTATTTTGTGAAATCTAGTTTAAAGATGAGTAGGGTAGTGCTATTGTGCCTTAATCGAAGATTAAAACGCGAAATTATACGAATCTCGAACTAAAATATCCGTATCGGCCCGTTTTAAGGAATCCCGAGTCAATCCAAGCACGCCGCCTCAAATTGCCTATCCTCTTTGTGGCGGCCTTAGAATAATAACGCATAGAAGCCTAGTCCGCACACGCTAAGTGAGGCAAATTGAAGCGCGCCCAATGGGCCTACACGAGCGGGCGGGCCTTCAGTGCTCAAGGTCAACTTGCACCGCGAACAGATCAAGAATTTTAGCTAAAAATGAAATGTGCGGTAAATGAGTGTAAAAATACGTCAGACAAACATAAAATAGATACTAACATCACATTCCACAAGGAAGTAACGCGTTTCAACTTGTATTTTTATATAAATATTCACTAAAACCGAAAATTAACCTACTACTAAAACTAGCCTACACGAATTTGATTTTTGCCTCACTTGTGACAGTTCGTTTGATATGAAACTATCATTCTATGCGTTATTATTCTAAGGTGGCGGCCATATTTACAGAAACAATTAAACTTCATGTTTAGGCTGAAGGCTTTGCCAAAACCTTAATAAATTAAAAAAAAGCCAACAAAATACACATTGAGTATTGATTCTGTTTGACAATTTTATTTACTCGTAGAAACAGCATTATATGCAATCATTACATAATTAGGTCTTAAAACCTCGTACTTCTCTTTGTACTACTTCGGCTACTCTGCACAACCTCGTGGCCTAAACACGGTACTCGAATATAAGAGCCCTCATCATGCAACGATTGCATAAATATTATTTCACTTAGATCATACCATAATTGTGTCTAACACACGATCTGAAGTAAGTTAAAATTATTTATTTACTCATAAAATGGAGTAGCATTAAGTAAGAACGTCATTTAGTTAAGGAGTGATGGGATAAGCTTGCAAAAGGCTTTCTGCAGCGCAAGAGCGGCATAGCGCTGTTTTAATTAATTTACTTGCCACAACAATTAATTACTTCGCGAAAAATAAAATCCTACTCAAGTAAATTAGCTATTTATTTATTGCCGGCGTGTTGTGTGAACAATTATTTTCACATGCTAAAGTTTCTAACTTCTTCTTTGTTTTTTTATACTTCATATATTTTTTTGATAGCAACAAAGTGAGTTATAGCGCTATTATCACTATCCCACGCTGTACAAGGCGTGAGTCGTATATAAACTCCGATTAATGCTTTGGGTTCATAAAAATGATGTCTGATTGTAATTCGTAAATGCGAATTGTTAATCAGTTTAATTGTTAGTGTTATCGGGTAATCTGTTTATCAACGACTAACTACCTTGTTAGCGAAGATACTATTGATGACTTTTTTGATATTGTATCCTGTCGTAAAGTGCACTATTTACGTAAGTCAATAACTTTATGTAAATTTTTCTCGAAAAACCTAAAAAAATATGGTTTTCCCTATATTTTTGGTCAGAATTTGCTGTTACGATTGCGTTTTAAATGATTGTCTATTCAAATTAAGCTTAACTTGTACATTAAAAAAAATAACGGATTCCAAAGGAGTTTATTTTTAGCTCTTATGGCGAATTTTTATTGTGGCTTAAATCTTATTAATTAAAATGGTTACTGCCACCATGTACTGCCATGCATGACAGGCTTAGATGGAAATAAATTAAATTACAACCTTAAATAACGTCGTATTTATTTTTAGTGTATTTTTTCAATTTCTTTATTGGTACCAATCTGTAACACAAGGGAAAAAAAGGATTTTTCCCTTTTTGTTAGTACCTCATTAATCAAAAACACGTTAGATGCGAATCGTGTGCGATTTAAAACAAACTGACCTTCGTCACATTCCACGTGACAAATTAATTGTTTCATCAGATAGGTACTTTGATACCTTAATTTGCTGTGCTACCGGCTTTTGATAAATTATTTGTCAAAATTATGTGATTTACTTACTTTTTATTTGTTTGGATTTAAGTCTTTTGATTTAGGAAAATGCATCGTTAGTAAGAAAATCATCTTCACTTGAAACTCAACGTCACCCACTGTTGAAATTGAAATGCCTCCTGTTGTATTTGCGATCTACCACGCTCTTGCGCTAGTTTCACCAGTGTACTGTGTTACGTATGTAACACAATGTCGTCTTCCCATCTCGCCGCAGCAACGCTAGCATGACAGGGTGGGACTTGCTCAAGAAGTTACAGCAATCTCGAGCTGCTTTGGCGAGCAAGTTGCGAACAGTCGAACTAACGCCGCAAGATGTCCTACTTACTATGTATACGTTTCTCTTCGGTCACATTATTCGGTTATCGCTTTTATCCATCTGTCATTATTATGCCTCGCAATATGTTCTACTCAGTACCAATTTAGTTTCATTATCCTATCTCCTGTATCCTGGACCTTAATGATGTTATGACAGCCTCCATGGCTCTTTATGTATCTCTCATTCAGTGCACAAACACCTGTAAGAGCGTTCATGCCTCGGTTCCGTAAGTCATCGTGAGAAAATCACACTGGCTGAATAATACCGTTTGCTATACTGTTATTGTCTTGACTAGGCCATGAACTTTTCAATACAACTTGGTACAATCACACCTTTGCTTTATTTTATAGTCTCATATTATAAATTACCTATGCAATGTAATCCCATGCCAAAGACATGTATGATATTTAAAGCACGGTCTTCGTTGGTTTGCACGAAAATGCCATTGTTAAAATATCGACCGACATCGAGATTCCACGCCTAATTTTAGCTTTCGAGGATTATGTCGTTGTAGGCTGTATGATAAAGGCTATACTTAGATTTAACCGTGAATAAATAGAACAGCCGGCTAAACTTAGGCGTGACCGCATTTCGGCTCCTAGACGTAATTTATTTCGGAAAGTCCGTTTTCTAAATGGGAATCGAACTCGCGAACTATTTTGCCGTATATAAGACCGAACAGAACTAAATAAATATTATTATCCTTAAGCAGTTTTCAGCGCAGGTCTCCTCGTTGCGCCTGGATGTCGTGTCGTGATCGTAATGCTGTTCAAATTTCGCATCGCGACGGCGGGGCCGTGCCGGTACCGTCTCTGTATCGGGTCTGGTAATTAAACGATTTTATGTTTAACGTTATTCTTCATTTTCTTAATTTAAAAACTTCGCGACGGCATTTGTTATGTTTGATTGACATTGTTGAAGTTTCTTTCATACGTTATTAATTAAAGGCAAGATAAGTCCGTTGTTTTAATTTTATACAGAATATTGGCGCACTCATTTGCAGTAAAAGTAAAGAATATGTTAAAATAATAATGAATTAAAAAAGAAAATGGAATACTTTTTACATATGTCATGTTCTCGCAGTTGTTTAATCCGAAGAAATCATTTATTGTTCCCAATTTCATTAATTTCATTTGAATTCCCCTAACTCCCTTTTGGATTTTCTCCTTTCCGTTTCCGTTTACTTTGACGTTGGCACAAAGTACTCTAGTGCCATTAACATGATAAAAAATTCAAAGAACGAAAAATTATGTCCCCAGAATGGAATAATGTCTAAACTTTGAAAGTTTTTTGTCAAAGTCCGGATCAACAATGCAGCCTTGTCGTGTCAATCGCCACTAATTCACGTGTTACCCCTGCTCTGAAATGCTTAAGAATTGACTTTTACGCTGTGTTTATTGTATCGTAAGTGTGCCAGAACTAAAAGTTTTTCTATGAAAAGTGTTAGTTTGTTTATATAAATAGATCACACGTTTAATGTCCCACAAGCACACACAACAATATGAAATAATAAATGAAAAAAAAAAAACAAACACAAGCCTGAAATTTAAAATGACACGGTAAATACACAAAAAAAAAAATTAAATAAACATACGAAAATTATAAAGAGCTTTTAATTAATTAATGAAAGTACAATGTTACAGCAAACCACGAAGGTAAGCCCAGAGCGAATTTTGGCCAAAATCAAAGTAGAAGTTCTCGCTTATCACCTTGGGGGTATTACATCGAGTATATAACCAGAAATAGTCAAAGTCAAAATTAAATAATCATTTTCATTTCTCATGCTCTTAAAATTAGTATTTATGATGGGTTTTATGAAGGGATTTATGCAGCCTACGCATAAAATAGGATTTTATGCTCTAGTGCATAAAATAAAAAACCACCACATTAAATATGTCTAATTGTTGTAATTTTACATTCAATTTTAATTAAATAATCGTTTATTTGGAATATTGCTGTTTAATTTCCTCGCAATCGAAGTGAAAAGCAGAGTGTATAACTCGTTCATAAAGCCCATTTTACCCTCGACTTAAGTATTCAACTTCGCCTGCGGCTCGGGTGGATATACTCGTCTCGGGTAAAATGACGTGTACAATCTACTATTGTTCAATAGGTAAAATTTTTATACTTGAGAAAGATATGGGACGAGATGTCATAGATGAGAGATATAGAAATGAAATGTCATTTAATTTGTTTGAAAACTATTCCGCCATATCATTACGTTGACAGCTGCGCTCCGATTGGCCAGCCCGAATTCCAAACAATTGACGGGTGTCGTCAATTGTTTCACTTCAAATATACCAGTTTAACTTGAGCTTTGCTGTAAAACGAAAATTGAGAAATTA